TAATCGACCACAAAACAATCTCGAAAGGAAACCAATGAATCAATCGACCTCTGGCTTATTGCGGGAACATATAGGGACATAGAACAGAAAGATGAGCATCTACTTGGCCTAAACGCTTCTTCTGTGAGCAGTAAAAACAAGGAACTCTTACACATTTGCTATCATGATCAGGCTCAAGACACTGCTGAAAACATTTGAAGCACAGATGAAGGGCTTTCATACGATCGCGACGATCGGACAAGGTGGCGTAAACATCACAGTCCGTCGCATATTGGTGTGTCGTCGAGTAGCAGTTGAATTTGCATTTGCCCTTTTCAACAGTATAGCTTGAACTTGGTCCCAAGGGTGTTGATTCGGATGCCAGCTTGTCTTCGAGTCGCAAAATGTCCTGTTGCCCTTGTTGAACGACTGACGGCGAGCCAAGTAATTCACGAAGTTGATCCTCAATCCTTTTGATCTCGTCACGCGCGGATTGTGCTGCTTTCTGGAACAGATTCTTAGACTATGACATCGAGGATACTTTACGACACTGACCAAGTTTCCCTTACGACGTTTTTTCTTTACCGAAGATTGTCGAAAGGCAAACCATCTCTTAAGCTCAAAAACTTATAATTCACACAAACTAGGTTCTAAGGAGCTTATTAGACAGACCTCTTTTTTGACAGCTTCTTCCCGAAGCTTTCCGAGTTTACCCGAAATATCCGATATCAGGGTTCTTAGCACATTTGTCATCGTCTCAGTCACTGCCGGATTCCTGGCTTCATCGAAAGACTGGGAAAGGTTACGATCGTTCTCGGGAGGAGCCCTGTCGGTGCCATCATTGCCGACACCACTTTCCCGAGGACATTCTTCAATATAAATGGGTAAGGAATAGACCTGTGGCAGTTAGTTAAATTCGACAGAGGCTTCTAGAAAGGACCTTAAATATCGTACGAATGATGACAAAATATTAGGTTGTCGCATAAGTTCTTATACACGACTTTTTTGTAAATATCTCAAAAACGAACCAGCCTGGAGATTAGAGGTATGCACCATCACCATTCACTACTCGACGCCAGCGCTCAGGCAGCTTGTCGATTCCATCCTTCCAGAACGACGGAGGCTGGGACTTGAAGAAGTCGTCGAGCGCCTTTCTGACCTGATCCTTTGTTTCGAACTTTTTCCGTATAGCGCTAT